AGGAGAGGAGAGGAGAGGAGAGGAGAGGAGAGGAGAGGAGAGGAGAGGCGCTCCAGCCCAGTGCCTTCTGCCTGGCACTCGGTGCTCTGAGCGCGCTGGCATGCAGCAGTGATTAGCATACATTAACGAGCAATTAGCATCTGGTAATAATCATTCCTGTGCCAGTGACACTTGGATTTGCAGTCCCCGACCTGTGCTGAGCCCGAGCTCACAGCTGTGAGCGGGAGGCTCCGCAGAGCGAGCGGTCCGGTCCGGCCCGGCTGCCGCGCGGTGCCGGCAGGGGCCGCGCTCCGTTAAATACTGGCGCTCCCCGGCGCCGGCAGGAGGGAGAGAGATTCCCGTGGAAATGGTTCCTGGCATTCCTTAAATTTTCAACTGTTTCAAGCAAAGTTTGATTTCTGCTCCACGACTGCCACTAACCAGGCGCAGACCAATGGAGCGGCAACGCCAACCCTTCCCAACTTTCTCTCAGAGGAGTTTAGGAAGAGGCAGCACCTGCTGCCAGTTTCAGACCGCCGCGCTCGTGTCGGGGACAGTCAGAGCTCGAGAAGCTGCGGCCGCGGGGTGGAAGCACAAAGGGAGCCGTGTCCGTGCAGCCAGGCCGTGGGAGCAGTGCCCTTCATGCACATTGGCATGGGTACGCTTAGACGTAGGCAGCATAGGCAGTGTGGACCCCAAATACTCACACTTGCCTCTCTTTCTTAGGTAGGCGGGTCCAAATGTGAAAAGTACTGCTAAAATTCCTGGAGATTTGGTTCACACCGAGCGCGCTGGAGGTGCCCGGGCGTGCTCCGCTGCCTCGTCCTGCTCCTGCTGCAGCTGCTCCGTGACCGGACTGCTCATATGCCGTCTTCAGGGAAGAGCTGAACGCGTTCCAGCCTCGAGCACCAGGAGGAGTGATGGTTCTTCGGTGCTCACTCCCGTTTTCTTCAGGCTGAGTCTTGTCAGGCCCCAGGAATATGGAGGTGCAGACAATACAAGCCAGATATAGAAGGCAGGAGTAAGTCTGAAGTGGCCCAAGACAGTTTAGGAATGGAGGTCAGAGGGAAGGTTGGGAAGGATGCTCGATGAGATTTTTAAAAAAAGGGAGGTCATGTGGAAGGGATCTGTGCCAAATGGGAGGTTTAGGGATAGGTGGGCCTGTAAATGTGCACATAAAATAAAGATGAACCTAGGAATTGGTATGTCAGGAAGAAGAGATATGGACCTGGGAAGGAGTCAGGAAAGGAGAAATAGGTTGCTTGTAGAAGAAATGGGCCAAGAGATGATGAGGACAAAATACTGAGTTTGGAGAAGAAGCTGGGGAACAAGAGTCTGACTAGGGTGGGTAAATGTGGGAACCAGTCTGGACAAGAAAAAGAAGGGCCAGAAGCAGCGGAAGAAACTAGGATTCTGCTGAAAAGCTGAGTTAAAACTGTGGAAAAAAGACCTTTGCCTGGCAGTGATTGGTTTGGTTGTCCTTGGATGTCTTCTCCAGTCTCCAGCACCAAAATGGCACATATTTCACATGGACTTCAGGTGATACCCATGAGTCCTTTCAGTGTTGGAAATAGGAAAGTGGTACTAGATGTCTGTTTTTGGGGGCACCTGAATCTCTCTGGCTGTGTCCCTTTCCAGAGTTTTGAATCCTCTAGTCTTTCTTTTTGGTACCGGAATTTCTTCAGAATGCCTAAAGACAGTGTTAGGAGGTATTTTTATAGTTCTTACCACAATTATATGTGAGCTTCATGGCATTAGAAAATAGAATATCTCTATGAGATAGAAGATTGGCATATTCTGGACAGAATAGTTAAAAGGCAGCTGGGACCTTATTTTTCAGAGCAGACCTCACACGTATTTTAGTTGCAGCAGTTCTGAAAATGAGGCCTCAGAAGAAGCCATACTGAGGTGCTGCTCATCTATGAAAGGTTTTAAGCACTGTGCCTGGTATCACAGAAGAATTTTGTGGCAGAAGCAGGGATAGTCCCCAGCTCTTTTGGACAGCTTTCATCATCTTAATCCTCAGAATATTATCCTTTTTCTCCAACAATATTGTACCTCCACAATTTTTGTCCCTGAAAATTAACTGGGTCCCAGGCCTGTGGCTGCCATCTAGTCTCATCTAAAAAATATCTGACTTTGAGCCAGGATTTTCGCCGAAATCTTCTTCAACAGGTGAAATAGGATTCTCGTCATCCTGATCTTTCTGGACAGCAGCTGCTGTCTCCCGCACCTGATAAGGCAGGATCCTGTTTACTAATTAGCATGTGAGCGTGCAATGCAGGACAAAGGGATGTAAATCAAGTGGTACAGACAGCTCTTTTTTTGGCACATCCTCTTCACTACTGGATTTTCCAACCATAATATTGCTCTTAAGACATTAAAGAGAATTTATAAAATCTTTTAAAGTATAACTGTGCCCCAAATTTGCCTGGAGCACACTATTGATCATTTTATCTGACCATGGATGTGCTCATTTTTTGTTTATATGGATAATTACACAAAACACAAAATAAAAGCTTATAATAAATGTTATTTAGTTAGTGTTTCTAATCACAACATTTCTCTTTGGAACATATCAGTTACTTGCAGTGGTGGAGCTGTGGTGGAGAACTATTTAAGTATTTTGTTTGGAGTGCTGTGGAGAGAAGCTGCGTGTTGTGCCAGGAAACCCTTGGACACTGTGGGTCAGAAGAACAGATGCATTCAGTTGCTGAGCCATGGGTAATGTCTGGCAAGAAATGCATATCTGGGACTTCACTTGATATTCACATGGTGGGAAACAAACAAACAAAAAAAAAAAACAAAAGGGGGAAGGGGAGAATGCATAGGTGGACAAGAGTTATCAAGAGAGAGGAAATACACAAAAAAGTCTGTGAGAAGGGAACAGGGTAGTAGGAAGTTACATGTCAATGAATCAATAGCAATAAAGTGTCAGACAATGA